TGGATGTAAATAGCATGGCCCATGCTATAGCTGGTGTAACTGTATCCAAATGAAATCAACGGTGGTGTCCTCTAGTGTCCCTTACAGTGAATCACGTACATAAATCGCATGTACTGTAGCTATTGTTCTTGTTTGAGCATTTTAAGCCAGTTTGTCCTTGAATTTTTAGGAAGTGCCTTGTATGTTGTGGGTAGTACAGTAAATGAATATGTAGTAACACGTCTACAACTGCAAATTCTGAAGATTTTTTCTCCCTTAAGAAAAATATGTCCACATTAAATATTTGATAAGATCTTCACATCACTGGAGCCCTGGTGACTTATAGCAGCCAAGGAGTTAGCTCTGTTTCTTTATTTAAATTTCTTTCATCAATCGAGGTCGCAGTAACCAATATGACTTTCTTCTGATCTGAACTGAATGTGCTATATTTTGTTTAAAATTGAGTAGTCAGAATATTAAAAAAGTAAAGTACTTAACAAAAAGAGTGTGGATAACTAAGGCTTATATTAACCAACTCATCCACCTCAACACACAATTATACCACAATATTTATAAAGTGATTAAATAGGGCCAGACCTGCAACTGGACTCTGTTGAATTTTGTAGAGATTCATATCTACAGATCTTCTATTTACAATTGTCACTGTAAGAGGGAGCTGATTTGGACTTCTAGATCCTAGCCCTTTCAAATTTGGGGGAAATTAGATTGAAATTGAAATCTTCACTTTTCTTCTAAGAAATGCCAGCCAATCATAACACACTTTCCTTATAAAGAACTATAAAAAATAAGATGTGCAGTTGCTGTCTATGTGTTTAATGTATGTCTGAGAAACTAAAGTCTCTCATGAGGAAGGGTAATAGAGAGGTAGCCATGTTAGTTTGATCTTGCTAAAACAAAAGGAAAAACTATGTAGCACTTTATGAGGAAGGGGACAATGTTTTGTATTAGAAAACACAATAAAGACATGTCATGGACAGGAGTGTATAGCCTTCCATGCTAATTTGTTGGAAATAAATTGTGATGCCCTAAAGCTAAAATACAGCAACTACTGGTTACACACTTGTGGCATGGTAATTTAGTTAATTTTATCACTTATTTGTTTAACATTGTTTCTTTCATGATCCATCAATTGCAATATCATTGCTGATAGTTGTGAGAAATAAATTTAGACCACCTAGAAAAAGTTTCCAAGTTAGTGCAATCTTTCTTTTTTAGGTATTTATAGTAGGTAGATCACTGTGCCCTACAATAGTAAAAAAAGAAATGAAAATCATCAGAGGTCACCAACATTCTAACCTGGGTCATGTGATCAGTTATAATTTAGGCCAGGTCTATACTAGACTCGGAAGGTCGGCTTAAGTGAGGTACGCAACTCCAGCTACGTAAATAACATAGCTAGAGTCTATATACCTTAAGCCAAGCTTAGCACTGTCTTCACAGTGAGAAGTCAATGGGAGATAATGCTCTTGTCAGCTTCTCTTATGCCTTGTAACTGCTAGGAGTACCGGCACCAACCAGGCATGCCCTCAGCAATCAATTTTTTGGGTCTTTACTAGACCTGCTAAATTGAATGCCAGAAGGTTGATCTCCGGTGTGGTAAATGGAGACATGGCCTTATATAATCTGTGTCATGTGACTAGGGCTAGGAAATGAAGATCAATTCATAATTAGCACTCCAATGTGTTTCCCTTTGATTGCAGAGACTACCACATGCCTTATTAAGCATATAGTCCTCTACACTTGAAGTGAAAAATTTGCCACTGATATCAATGTGGCTAGGAGTGACTGCTCTGTATATAGTCCTACTAACAAACAATCAACATGTTGATTTACTTTAGCTATTAAAAATAGGATCTAGTTTCTCAACATTGTTAGGCAACTCTGATTGGGTTGACCATTCAAAAGGTAAATACAACAATTAAATATTTGTGTTCAAACTACCCTGGTCCAAGAACCCTTGAACATTGATGAAGTATTTGAAATCTAGCTCTGGCTTTTCACTTCTGTGTGGTAGGATGGGGCAGAAGAATTCAAAAGTGATGTTAAGAGCAGATCACTGGACATTCCCTACCATTTTAAATGGGCATCAAACGAGAATAAATCTAGGAATTCTAGACTAATTCTGAACATGAATCTTTTGGTTCACAACATGCTCCTGAGAACATATGTGCAATATATTTACAGTACTAGCTTTTATCATGAGATAATGGTGACAAGTGACACTTAAACTACACAACTGTTACAAATGAAATAAAGAGCTGGAAAAGCAAAGCATGATACAAATAAAATGTGTAAGTGATCAAGTTTCAAGAACAGCACCAGGGAGTGTTTAAGTAATTCCAGCTGTTCTAAATTTATGAAATTTGGATAAGCTTAAGTAATACATAGTTTATCATGTCCTAATAAGGACTAGTTCATTTGCAAAGGAAAAGAATCAGAAAAAGGCAAGGCTGTGTCTACATTGACACCCCTTTCCGGAAAAGGGATGCTAATGAGACCAGTCGGAATTGCAAATGCCGCGGGGGATTTAAATATGCCCCGCAGCATTTGCATGAACATGGCTGCCACTTTTTTCCGGCTCAGGGTTTTGCTGGAGAAAAGCGCCAGTCTAGACGGGATCTTGCAGAAAATAAGCCCTTTTCCAGAAGATCCCTTATTCCTACTTTTAGGTCAATGTAGTTAGATCAATATAGTGTCAGGCTATGTCTAGACTACGGAGTTTTTCCGGGCTACTGGAGGTATCCCAGAAAAACTTCCGCCGCATCCAGAGAACACGTCTACTCTTCCAACATTTTTTGCAGACGAGCAGATGCTCTCTTTTGGAAGCCCTGTCTTCCAAAAGATTGTCTAGACTACGGAGTTTTTCCGGGCTACTGGAGGTTGAGCAGATTTGGCCCCATGTAGATGAGCCAAATTTTGGAAAAAACTCTTCCAAAAAAAAAGAATTGGAGTGCAATTTGCATACCTTTTCTGACAAAAAGTGGCAGTCTAGACATAACCTCAGTGTAGATGCTGTATTGTTTACATTGACTGTCATGTGCTTTCAGAAGCTGTCCTACAATGCTCCAGGCTGACAGTTAAATCTGTGCAAGTGCTCCTGGTGTGGAAGTGCACTGCTGACACAAGGACTGTTGTGTGGACAGGCAAAAATGATTTACTTGTGAGGTGGTTGTGAGTTAATGCAACTTAGGTTGACTTAATTTTGTAGTGAAGTCTTGCCTTAAGCTTTAATAATGACTTCCTTCTGTATGCCAGGCTTTTCAGAATGTGAATTTTAGTAACCTTCTGAGCTGGGAATCGGATTCAGAAGCAGTGTTTCAAGGTGGTAAAAATCTGAGTTCATTAAGAGACTGATTAATGCTGGTGTAAATTGGGAGTAACTCCATGGTAGATAATGGACTTACCTCAGGATCAGGCCCTAAACTATATTTCTCCAGTAGTAAGAGAGCAGTTGGGACTCATGCTAATGGAAACTGTAAGAACCTCCTTGATGCTCATTTCAGACTCTGTCATTGTTACTCTGCTTCTCACATGCTGTCTGCTCTGCAGCTCCTCTCAATGGCATCAATTAGGAGTGGACAGGGGGCAAATCCTCCTTCCCCTCCCCCCCTTAAAAAAAGATTTTGCAGAAAGTTCCATAGTCTTCCAACCCAACCACTTTTAAGGAGTAGTTTTGTGACAAGTCTGTTTGGCTGTTTCTGGCATGGTTTGGTCTCCGGCTGTGCTGTGTGGTCGCACTACCACAGAAATTTGATTCAGCCACTCCTCTGTACAGATGGAGGAGCATGTGAGCCAAGTTTCAGAGAGTGGTGGTGTGACCTGGCACATGGGTCACGATGCTACTAAAATTCGTTCCTCCTGTCAAATCATGAGTGACAGATTCAAGTCATGTTTCAACCTAAGTACAGGGAGTCTATTCCCCTACAGCAGAGAGCAAGGGAGTCCACCTGCAACTCAGTCCCTGTTGGCACAACTCATTCATGATATGGGTATGAGAGAGAAGAGATTTCCCCACCTAAGGAGGCCTGAAGTCCCTGCTGGTGGGTATGTGTGTGGGTGGGAGGGAGAGACACTATAGCTGGGTCCCTCCTTTTCTCTGCAGCCAAGAAATATTTGACTTGGCGCCACTGGCTCCTTTATTTTATTGCACTTTGAGTGGCACTTGCTTACTTTGAACATTACCTTTGTGGTTTTGTTATGATAACTGTTTGTACCATGCCAAATACGCGTGTTCTCATGACTAGGTGTTGAGCTATTCATCATATTTCCTGGAAGCAAACAAAGCCGTCTTTACACCACCCTTTGCATAAGGTTATTAAAAACATTTAGCCAGTGTTGAAAATGGATATCAGCAACTGCTCCAGCTGAGCCAGTGCTGAATGTGGTTTCACTGCAAGACTAGACTAAAACAATCCAAATCTGAAACTGGATAAAATACTGTGTTTAAGTGCTTAAGTATTATAATTAGATTATTTCAGGCCTCTGTCCTTTGACCGATGGGGGCACAGGCCCAGTTCACCTTGTCATTATCACAGCTCTTTTACACTCCTCAACCTCACCCTTAGATCTCCTCATCCCACAATCACAGCTCTTCCAAGTTGCTTAAACCCTCCACTCTTCAATACCTAATAGTGAATGCAGTTGGAGTGCATTCAGATAAGTGCCAGTGGCTATTGACCTCTCCAGTGGGGAGGAGTTATTTACCTTAAGTCTGTATTTACTGGTTTTCAGAAAGTTGAGATTTGCTGAACTCATTCTGGAAATGCACAAACTATCACCAGGCCCTGAACTTCCATGTCCTTGACCCATGTCTTCAAAAAGTGAAAGTTGAAGGTAGAGGGTCTGGAAGTGACAGAATGTGCCATATCGAGGCCACAGTCCTGTAGGTGCTGAGCACCCTCAACCCACACTGAAGTCAGTGAAAGTTGGGGACATGCAGTACTCTTGTGGCATGTCTGTGCACACAGACTTAACAGCCCATCGTTGCTTTATCCTAACAGGACAGCGTTTGTCAGTGTACTGGACTTGAGAGAGAGATCAGTTCTTGATATCTGCCCACAATCAACAGGATGAACAGCACCATGGAAAAAATGTTAGTGACTTTTGTAGAATCTGCCCACAATCAACAGGATGAACAGTACCATGGAAAAAATGTTAGTGACTTTTTTACTTAGCTTTTTGTAGGGTATTGCCATTTACATGCAGATAGCAGCTTCCAGTCAAACTATGTAATATGCAGTCAGTTTGATTAATAGCTGTTGAGAAGAGGTTATATATAACCACGTTTTCATGGAAGTCACAGCTCAGAGTTTTCTTTCCAGCCTATAAATTCCATTGGTATGTCTTTCCACTCTCAATTTCCTACTAACCTCACTTCCTCAGCATGAAATACTGCATGAACTTCTACATACACTGATGTATATAATTGGTCTATCATGTGGCCCGAGAAACTTTAGGCTCCTTTATATACCATGTACTCAAGAACAGATCAAGCAGTACATTGTGTTTTGGGCTCCTCTTAGCAATGGTTTACTGTAAACATTGCAAAACCCTTCCCTAGTACATAGTTGTTTATATGGCAATCAAAACTAGATGTATTCCTGACACATTTAGAGTACATAGTTGTTTATATGGCAATCAAACCTAGATGCATTCCTGACACATTCAAAGGTCTCCACTCTAAAGATTTTTAGATCTATTGAGGCAATAGCCAGAAAATGGAGCGTGGGATACAATATTGTCCCATTTTTCTTATCCCATGATAGTCCCACCTACCTCTTGAACTTTGCCTAATCATATTTACAGTTCTGGTTTTATTATTTAATTTTTTTTTTGCTAAATTTTGTCCAGTTACCATTTGCTTTAAGCCTGTTAATCCCTTCCAAGTTTTTTAAAACCCACTAACCAGCCTTCTAATTGAGAACACATCCTACCTACACCAAGGGTGCTGACAGCCTCTGTGGGCCCCTGGACAAGCTGTGTTGGAATGGGGGGCTGTTGCAAGGGATGGGGCCTCATCTAGAAAGGACAGGACCAGGGGAAGCCAGCCCTGAGTGCACTATGCTAGCCCCAAACAGCTCTGTGCTACCTGGATTGTGGTATCCCACCTCCCTCAACCCTTAGCACTGCCAGGCAGCTGCCAGACCCCTGGGACCCTTTGAATCACCAGACTCCTGGGAAATTGTTTCATTTGCCCCCTTCCGCGCCACCCTCCCCCCCATGGCTGGCCTGCCCACAACACATCCTCCACTATTCAACCCCAGTACAGACAACACCACCAATACTCTTACAGCATTATGAGCTCAATTCTGCAAGAACACTACTATAGCCAAGTATTTAAGCACATGGTTCCCTTTAGGCATGTGAGTAGTTCCACTAAAGTCTATGCCTGTGTTTTAAGTGTTTTCTGTTGGACTTTAGGTGAAGAACTTTGCCACTTTTTTATTTGAGTTTTAGCCCATTGTAGATACAGCCGGAGTGTATCAGGGCCCAGGTCAATTGACTCAGGATTGTGGGCCTTGTGCTGCAAGGCTAAAAGCAACAGTAAGATGTTCCCAGTCAGGCTCTGAATCCCAGCAAGAGGAGGGATCTCAGAGTCTAAGCTCCAACCTCAACAGGAATGTCTACACTGCCACTGTTTGCTCTGTAGTAAGAGCCCATGTCTGTTAGCCTGGGCTCTGACACTGTTGCCATTTTTGTTTTGTATTCAAAGTCTTTGATTCTGCTGCCTTTCACTGGGCCTAGGTCAGCGCCTGAGAAAGAGGGAGAGCTTAGACTTTCCTACCAGCCACCCGATGGTATTTTTTTTCTTAATACTTTATGAACTTTTTAACAAAACAAGTTAAATGGTTTAAGCCACAAAAGGCTGAATCATCTCTGTGGGGTTTGCTTACTAAGGATGCTGACATTGGATTCTGCTAGCACAGCTTAACAGTGGTATGGGAAGACCAGCCAGCTGCCACCCTCTCCCAGCAACATAGTGGGAGGAATATCACAGTTTTCTCTCACTGATTCCCAAGTTCCAAATTTGAGGAAATCAACTGTTTGCATCCCAACAATAACATGAATGAATCTGTGGGTTTGAAATGCCCCTTTAGGACTGCTTATTTCCAGATGGCTGCAGCAATAAAGTGGTCATTGTGGATGACATAGGGAATTCCTTGTGGTTTTGAGATGCAATGAGAGTATCCAGGAAACACAGTGCTTGGTCTCTTCTTATCACCAGGGAAGGGTGTCCTCTATCGATTAGTTTTCATTGCTCAGATTATGCTTGCTTATTTCTCTGCTGTGTGTAAAGTCAGGTTAGAATCAAAATGGCTGCTGCCGCCTTTTGCCAGATAACTAGGGGCGGCCCGAGGCGGGCACCCCAGGCAGAATGCGTGATCAGCGCCCCCACCTCCACAGCCCTCAATAGCATGACGTCATCATTGGGTGCTAGGCCGACGCCCTAAGCGACAGCTGAGTCGGCCTATACACACGGGGCCGCCCCTGCAGATAGCAGTAGTTTTTTCTTGCAGATGTTACTCAGTCTCCTCAAGATGCTACTTGAAACTGTATCCCTGTATCAGGCACAAGACACAAACACAGCACAGCAGCTACTGTGTGAACAATGTGCGTCGAAAGATTTGCTGTACCTCCTCAGAATCAGGCAGGGACGCTCATACCCTATGCTGGAAGCTAGAACAGGGAAAGGTTTTTGCAAAAACATTTTTTTTTTGTTCCCAGAGGAGAATGCAGATTTGGGTCAAATAAGATGGCTTGCAAATTCTGTCAATTTCTCCACACTCTTTTGGCTGGAAAAACAGCTTTCAGTTAGGTCAAATGAAATATTTCTAGTTAATACCATTTTCCTCCAACTTTTTGGTTCATTTATAAAAAAAATCACTTTCAGATTAACCTGAAACAAATTTGATTTGGTGTGGGTTTTTTAAAATATATATACTATAAGCCAAGTGTAAATCAGATCTTCACGCAGCTCTAGTACAAGCCCCAGGCTAAAGCAGACCTACATCCACCACTTCTTACAGATTCCCCTTCAACTTCCTTTCTTACCCCCTCTTGCTACATTAATCTTCCCCCAACTCGCTATAACTAACACTTTGTCTACACTGGCAATTGAGTGACAAAGCTTTCCTTGTTCACAGGTGCTTCAACAGCCCCTCACCCCCAAGGACAAAGGCCTTGCTGTGGCAAGTACAAGTGTAAACACTGCTTTGTCTGCAGGAGTGCTTTGCTGGCAGGAAAGCAAAGGCCACTTGTAGGGGGTGGAAAGGTTGTTTTTGTTGTTGTTTTGGTGTGTTTTTCAGCATAAGTGCTGACAAACAGCAATTTACACTGTCTGACTTCATGGCTTAGTCATCAAAACCCGCCTTTTGGCAACAAAGCAGTGAGCGTGTACACCCTGTAAATGGGACTCTTGTCAGGAAAAACACCCAGATTTAGTGACACAACTTCCACCCCTATGAGAGACTTGTTTTCTTTTCCTTTACCTTTATTGCTGACAGAGACAGTGTAGACTCTGTTGTTTTTGTCCACAGAACTGGTGTCCACCAGTATCCCACAATGCCTGCCCTTATGGTTCTGTCCATCTTTCATCCCTGCTGCCCTGAAGTGATTTTGGTTGGTTGGTTTTTGCCCACTTTTGGGTGTCAACATAAGTTTTGTTGACAAAACTTGATAGTGTAGACATTCTCTTGGGGCGTGTCTACGCTGCACCAGAGCTCAAAATAAGATACACAATTTGCGTAGCTCAAATTGTGTATCTTATTTTGATTTTATTTCAAAATAGCACCAAAGTACAAAAAAAGCTATCTACACAGCACCAAATTTCAAAATAAATTGCTATTCCAAAATGACCCTTACTCCATATGGAATGAAGCTTACAGGGATGTCAGAATAACGAGCCCGGTATATTTCAAAATAACGGGCTTGCTGTGAAGATGTGGGATAGCTATTTCAAATAGTGCTGCAGTGTAGACATAGCCTTAGTGATCCAGCTGAATCAACACAGCCTTGTCACTAAAAGTAGTGTAGAGTAGACATACTGTCACTAACTAACGACTTTCCTCTTCTGAACAAGGCCTGCCCCTCAAAGTACAAATTCTTTCCCTGCCGTAGTTCTTTGTTTACCCACTGGAAGTGCTAGTTGTAGGTGGTATCCAAGAAGTATTAATTGCTGTAAGATTCTGTCCTGCTTTCCTCCAAGAAGCTCTTGATAGTTTCAATTCACCCTCTACAATATTGTCCACTAAGAAATGTTCTTCAGCTTGTATGTACTTGTGGAAGGTGGAGCCCAGCACCTATTAGCTTAGATGTTATCCCTATCCAGTTCACGTTTAATCAGTGCACCTGTTAAAACAGTAAATCATTACTAGTTTCTTATATAAAATGAATGGAAGTGGACATACGTTATGGGACACTTACTAAAGCTGATCTTGGAAAATCCATATTGATCGACGTGACAAGACAATCTCTCCCCTATAGACTGGAAGCCAAGTTACAAAACTCTAGATAAGATCAATGTAATTGCTCTCTATTTATAAGCAATTGGTAATGGCTAAAACTGGAGGAAAAAATCCTTTAATTTTCTGATTCATATCTTTAATCAATTGCAACATGGTATGATCGTGTTTTATCTCTAGCTTTTCAATTGTTTATTCAATAAAGGTTGCTCCATTGCATTTGACTGACACGTTATGGCATTTTATTGACATTTACAGTAGCTTTTACAACATTCAAGGTGCATAAGTTAAACAGAAATGTAACATGGTAACACTTCTGGATGGAAGTGGGTCATAAAGATGGAACGCAGATGCAATACTCAGTTTACAATTGTGGGAAATTACAACCCATCTTGCCTGGTTAGTCACATGCTGCACTATGGTTTCACACTGCATCAGTAAATCATGTTATCTATACATACCATGATGAGTTACTCAGTGACAGAGTCGGCAGATAATTAAGATGATTAACAATTAAAGTTTTAGGTAGCTTAAATCTTATTTTAATTGTGTTAAATATGAGCTATAAAATCTCATTCCACTCTTCAAAGACTCATAGATTTGGTAAATT